ATGTCAGTACGCCTTGCTAACCTCTCGGCTACCGTGGCTACATATAGGTATGTATGTAAATATGTACATACGTGTATATATGTAAACAATTTGCAGTGCTTAGTCATTGGCCAATTTTAATGAAACTCAATCAGTATATATCGGCCTCGTCAGTAGGCGGTTTGATTGTACATACATATACACATATACATACATATGTATATTCCGTGAATGTGCACAAACCGTCAGATGAAGGGAAAATAGCAATCAGCAGTAGTCAATGAGAAGAGAAAGAAAGAAGAAACAACCGAAAATATTTAAAAAAAAAAAAACTAAGTAGAAATTCATCAAACGCTTCATAAAAGCTCTGGGAATGTCATTCATACGAGCGAAAAGAGAAATCAAAAAGATATGTATGTACGTGCATATGTACAGTTTACAATACAAAGTTGTAATTGTGGAAATTTACAAATATTTTCTAATGCATGGTTGATGTGATTGGCAAATTAGTAATTGCTCGCACATCGTAAAGATTTTCCCCCCACACTCGGCGACCTTTCGAAGAACTCAAAGAAAGAGAGTAGATTACACTACATCATCTCCTTTCAGCGTTGTTCTTTTAGCAGCTAGGTAATGTGACGGTGAAAGTAGGCTCTAGAAAAGAGCTGCTTCGACAGATTCGGACCCCACATACGCCTTCCACAGCTTAACTGCTTAATATGGACGTTGCGCTATGCAAATGTCGTACAGGCGGTATCCAGCCTTGGTACTACAGGCGGTCGTGTACCAGGCTTATAGCTTCTTCATGGGTGTCTCATTACTCCCTGGCCTTTAAATTGGTGAGGCCTGATTCATAACTCTCCTCCGTTGTGAGTGTTAAAGATTTAAAAAGAGATACCATACGACCCTGCTGCCACTTATAGAGTATTTCTAGATCAATCCGCTTTGTTCAAGTCGACATACACATGTACATAAGTCCAGTGATCTGGGAAATTAAATCGGAGCAATTATCAGAAAGTGTTCCAATACTGGCGCCAGCATGGGTTGCCAATATTTCAAACTCGATATCGCCTGAAAGGATAACTATGCCCTGATGTTCTAGGGTAGTATATCTGAGGTCGATTTCACCATCGATAAGACGATACTACACGGAGCTTTGTAGGATGAACACTAAGCGACGTCCACCATGGTCTCGCTTGCGATACTTGCGGATGATGTTGTATCCGGTTCGGCACAGATGAACTGAGCGACTATCAGTCTTTCTTTGGAGTCTCTTACACTTAAATTGGAGAATTCTAATCTGTCTATGGGGAACATTAGCAATACGGGTTGTGAAGGAGTGATACGTGGGTCTTGTGCTTTGTAAGCCGCTGAATGGAATGCCGCACGTTGGTGCGGTGGTGGTTGTTGGCGGTTTCGCGATTGAAGACTGTGGCCTGCAGCATTGGAAAGCAAGGACCAGAATTGCATTTGACGGTTGTCACGCTCCGATATACAATACTATGGTGTGACACACGGGACAGACTGTGCGGCGTACTAAGAGTTGCTGTGTAGCCCATGCACGGAAGGTGGAGCTGGATGTGGGAGGGGATGAAGGCGAAAATTGAAAGTCATTCTGCGGAGAGTTCCGTTGAATCGTACAGATCTGAGGGTAGTGCATAATGATGCGGAAGGCAAAGCTACGAGGGCAGGCAAGCTGAGCAGATCTTCGGATGACTGATTGCATCTCGACGAGTTGGAAGAATAGTGAAGTCATTTATGGCACAAGCAGCGAAAAAAAAAAATATTCCGTCGAACCAAGGTTGGATTCGATACCAGCTCTGATGAGAAGGATAAGAAGCAACCTTGCTGCGTGGTGTTTTTATGAGAGATTTGGGAGTCATGGGAGCTTCGTTGGACCGTGAAGGTATGTGGGTAATGAGTATGAATAACAACCTTCGTCACCTAAAAAATATCAATTATTGTCCGCATTAAATCCGGAACCAGCTGCCTGGGGAGTCGTGATAATATAGTCAGTTTACGCTGTGCTGAGAATTTTTTTAGAACATTAATCGTGCTCTCTCCACCTAACTTCCTCGCCGAAGCACTATCGACACATACATATCTATGTATATATAATACATACATCCATATATATGTTTGTACGTAAGACCACCGAATGAAAGCGAAAATATTCAAAACGATTATGCAAGCGAAAAGCACATTTATAGGGTCAAATAACACGCGATTGCAGGCAGAAAATTATAAATTACAAAGCATCAGCAAAAATATATACATACATACATGCATATACACATACATACATATGTAGGTATGCACAAGGAAATAAAGCAAATGTCAAAAAACTCAATCTCATTCAGTTAATTAATATGCAATACAGCAAAGGCGAGTTGAGAGTAAAAAAACAAAAGCGGAACGAAGTGTGGACTTTGGCATTTTTCAAAAGCCGGCTTTGTTGTTTTCTTAAGGAAAAAAAAATTTTAAAAAATAATTAAAATTAAAAAAAAATAGAAACGTACAAAAAAAAATTGAATTAAAGAAAAAAAAATAAATAAATATAGAAACTAAAAATATAATAAATAATAATAAAAAAAATTAAAATAACAAAATAAATAAATAGAAATAAAAAAATAAATAAAATGTGAAATTTATGCAAATTAATGCTTACAAAAATTATTTATTTAAATTAAATTTTATTTTTTTTTTGAAAAAGTTTTTTTATAGTACGAAATTAGATTATTTAATTACTTGTTGCACTGCGAGTGACAATTAAATTCCCTCGTGTTGAGTATAAGGGAATAAATTTTTCATTATATTATTTTTTATATTCATAAGTACCGTCCCCAGCAAATTGCTATAATTCTTGCACACCATGCACTCTTTATCAAATGCACATTGTGAGCATCCATGAACAATAAAACCAAATACGAAAAATAAAAAATCAAACAAGCATACATACAGCTGTGTGCGAGAAAATAGCAGCAACGACATTTTTTTGCCCACGGAAACCCAGATCCAAAACTAGGTTGCTGGGTGCATAAATAACGCGAGGCGGAAAAAGCCGCAGGAAATACTTCCGAGCTCAGCAGACTGATGCACAATATCGGGAGCCCGACCGAAGAAGGTCGAGGAGCCACAATGTTGATCTCGTTACGAGAATGGAATGCCACCATGAAGTAATAATGCGAACGAGATAGGCGACGGTTCTTTGAAGAAGGGTTATTTTTTTTCTTTTTTGATTTTTACTTAATTTTTTAATTCTTCTCTGTCTTTGAAATTCATTTTTTAACTTATTATTTTACTTTTACGTTATATTATGTATTTTTTTATATCTATTTTTTTAACTTTTTTTTTAATTTTTCTATTTTATTTATATATATATACTTTAATTATTTATTAATATTTTTTAATTTTATTTTTAATTTTTATATATATATATTTTTTTTTTATTTATTAATATTTTTTTATTTTATTTTTAATTTTTAGATATATATTTTTTATTTTATTTTTAATTTTTTATATATATATTTTTTATTTTATTTTTAATTTTTTAAATAAAAATTTTTTTGGTTTATTTTTAATTTTATATATATATATTTTTTTTATTTAAACATTTAGTTTTTTTATATTTTAAATTATATACATAAATTTTTTAATTTTTAATTTTTTTTATATTTTACCATTAATATTTTCATGATTATTTTTTTATATCTTTTTATTTGTTTTTTTTTTATATTTCTTAAATTTTTTAAAATTTTTTTTGTATATTTTATATATTTAATTTGTTTCTTTCCCATTTTTTATTTTTTAAACTAAGATTATTTTTTATTTTTTGTAATTACTTTTTATATTTATTTATTTAAATTATTATTATATTTTATTCTTTTTAATTATAATTTTTTTGATTAATGTTATTTTTTAATTATTATTTTTTTAATAAATGTTATGTTTTTATTTTTCTAGTTATTATTTTTTTAGTTACTGATATTTTTTTATTATAGTTTTTTTAATTAATTATTATTATTTTTTAGATCTTTGTATTTTCAATTCATAAGTTTTTTTTTATAATTATAAGTTTTTTTTTAATTATAAGTTTTTATTTTTTAATAATAAGCTTTTTAATTTTTTTTAATTATAAACATTTATTTCTTTACTTTATATATATTTGAAAATTACATTTTTGTTTTATTTTTTTGATTATATTTTTTGATTGCATTTTTTTTTTGCATTATATAATATTTTTATTTTTTTCATACCTTTGTTTTTACTTTTACCTTATACCATGTGTTTTAATTTTACTTTTTATGACTTTCATTATACTTCTTGTTTTTTTTTACTGCATTTTTAGTTTTTAATATTTTTTCTAAATATTTATTTCAATTTTTTTTCTCTTAAATGGAAAATTACGAATTTGTTCATATCCACCAGAGCCACTGCTGCTATTTTCTTGTTGACAGCTGTATATACGGTCATATGCAAATATATCTACACTTTGACCATGAGCGCTCTCTCTTTGAGTGACAACAAACTTGCACTTCAATGCGGTGCAAGCTGTGTCACTTTTCTGTAGTTGTAGCAGCTGTTGTCATCGGCACCGTAAAATTACGGGAAATGCATTATAGCTATATAAATGCAATGCAAACTAAAATTTGAAGGCTAAAAATGCAAACAAATATAGGACAATTCAGCGAATGTTATTATAATGAATTATCAATTTGAAGTTATTAGCTTAATAAAAGTGAATATACGTACAACCAGCTATCGGCTACATAGTATGTACATAGTCCTGTCCAATTGGCATGGTCGGTCACACGCAATTAGAGCACGAATAACGATACATACATACATACATATGTCCATACGTAGGTACACAAGTACAAAAGGTTTACGCAATGCGCAATTACGCGACAAAGAGCAGTGCAAAGCTATTTCCTCTTTACGAAGTATTGGGAATGTTTTCAGTGGAAATAAAAGAAAATGATTGCTCTACTAATACATACATATATATTCGGATTACTTACGATACTAATATTAATGTTGTCACTATATTGACAATCAGTCCAATGATTGTTATAAGATTGGGCGCCAACCATAGTGGCGTCATTGAGACGAGCCAATTCCACCATGGCTGTAGCCATGGATCCAATATGCTATTACTTGTGCAGGAGTACTTATGTTCCGACAGCTTTTTCAGCTGCTGTGGACTTAATACGCGTTCCTTGTATGTGAGTGGTGGCATGATTTTATCTTGCAGCAACTGAAATTATTATATTTCGTTGCACAGGAGGTTGATTTGTGTAATTGGCTATGATTCTTGTTTATTTTCGGGTGGTTTTGTTGCGCACTGTTTATTGAATTTTATTTGTATTTATATATTTCTGTATGAAAAGAAAATTACATAGATATACTACATATTATATATTAATAATTTACTTAAATTGGCACAAACACTGTTGCGGATGTCGCAAACTAGCTCTATATACATATATTTGTACATATTAACATATGTAAGTGAAAAAATCAGCTAAATACACTTTCCCCCTCAAACGCTTAGCGTGTGATTTTGGGAATTAGCTGCTTTTCCACCTTCCTCTTTAATATCTTTTTTTCTTTTATACACTACTTTTACTTGCGCAAATAATTCACGTGTTGACTTTACTGTCGAACACTGCTAGTTTGACTTTTGTCCTTTTTTTCAATAATTTCTCAACATTCTACTTAAAACACAAATTTTTTACGCACGAAATTGCATAGAAAATTAGTTAGAGATTTCATAGGCTCTTTGTAAGCTTATTTCGCAAGGACAGAGATTTATTTCTTTTTTACTTCGCTAATTGGGTTGCTTTTTTGAAACACTTAAAATTATCCAAGTCTTTTTTTTTTGTTGAAATAATTTGCGTCTGTAAGAAAATGTCAACTTTTTTTGCCACTTGAGCACACTTTTCACTCACAATTTCCACGTCGCTTTTCTAAAGATAATGCACTCTACTGTGCAAAAGAACCACAAAACTTTTGAGCGAAATTTTAATGCACAAATTGACAATCTACAGAAGCAGAGAATGTCATGTGTGGAAATTTTACCACCCTGTATGTGTACGTCAAATTTGAATGCATGTGTGTGAAATTCGAGTGTCAAATTGACAGCTGACAGTTTGCAGGGTTGTATTTGTTAGGTGAAGTGTTGAGAAGCTTGCGCAAGCTTCTCCTCATTTGGCCTACTTACTTTTTTTTAAACGGCAGAGTAAATTAAAAATATTTTAAGTAGAAATGTAGCTTACAAAGCCATTTGCGTTAAATCCTTAAAAATGGTAAAACATATAGTTTGTATAAATTGTTATGAAAAATTAAAACACCCGTTTCAGTACTATGATTTCTTATGTTTTTTATTATACTTAAATTTTTATTCATATTTTATATCAAGGCATATAAACGTACAATATGTTGTATAATATAAATGTATTGTTTTATATATATATATATATATATATATATATATAATTTAAGCAAATTATAATTATGATCATTTGCTTTAATTACAAAAATTAGATAAAACACGCATACTTATCATATTATTATTATTTTTTTCCTTCTTTTACTATTTTAAATGTATTAATATTATCAAAAAAATAGTTCACAAATTGTTAAAATAAATATATGTATGTTTGTATATATATACGATATATGCATATGTATGTATGTATTTATAATGAATAAAGTTGTGCTCTCATAAACCGCTTAACAACTGTGCTCTTTCAGTTTAATTTTCATTTTAATTATTACATAATTTTTTAATTTTTTTTCCTTTTGTTTCGTACAATATTTTTAATATTAATTGTTTACAATGTTTTTAAGTTGAAAAACATCTGTTTGTTCACAATTTGCTGACGCTTTTAAAAATGTTTAATTAAAAAGTAACAATAATAATAATTTTACAAAAAATATTTTTTTTTTTGTAAATTTCGCTTGCATCTAAATAAACACGCAATTTTTTTTATTGAAGACTTTTATTTCGAAACTTAATTTTTTAACGCCTTCATTACTAAAAATGAAAAAAAATATTAAAGCAAATTATTTTTATACATACTTATATTCAACAGCAATGTATATTTGCCATTTTTATTATTATTTTTTACTGTTAAATTTTATGGCAATATTAATATTACTGCATTAAATGCTAACTTATAGTTTATTTTAGTGAAACTTGTGATTTTGTTGTGCAATTTTTCGCTTCATTCTTATATTGTTATTTTTTGTTTCGTTGGCATTTGCTTAAAAAGTGATTGCACGTTTTATTCACTTCCCTATAATTTTGTTTATAGCAAAATAAATTAAGCGCCAGGAAGCAACTTTTAAATATTAAATTTGTTTTCTTCTTTCTTGTTTTGTATTTGTGTTTTGATTAATGTTTTTTTTTTTTGGCGCAATAAATACAAGTGTATTCTGTATATATGTATGTATGTATGTATTTAGGGAACAAACTTATATAACTAATTTTGTTTTAAAGTATTTATGATTTTTCATATGGAAAAAATTCCTCATATAAACTTTACTGTTAAAAATCAATATATTTTTTTTATGTGCATATGTATTTAATGTTTTTGAAAAAAAATTGCTTTAAAATATATATAAATTTAAACCATGACACATATGAAAAAAACATTTTTTATGTGAGCACAAAATAAAAATAAATTTATAGCACAAAAATATATAAGACAAAAAAAATTCATAAAACATTAATACTTACAAAAATTAATTGAAAAAAATTAATAAATTTTTTAGGTTATAAATATCAGTAGAAGTGAAAGAGAATTTATTTTTGAATTAATAAATGTAGAAGCGAAAGAGAATTTATGTTTGAATTAATAAATGTAAAAGTCTATTTTGATTTTATTGCCACTTTTATTTGATTTATTATTTAAAAATTAATACAAAAGAAAAATATTAAAATTGCAGCATGAAAAAGAAGCCAAAAACACAATTTGGAAGTAAAAAGAAGTCAGAAGCGGGATAAAATAAGATGCTAAAACAAAAAAGTAAAAGTAGTCAAAAAAAAAAAAAAATGTTTCAAAGTAAAATTAAATTAATCTATAAAAAGAAGAAGAAATGTGTACTTAGTTATTTATTTAAATTTATTGGAGATAATTCAGGGAATTGAAAAAAAGGCAAAAGCAATTTTGAATATTAAAAATAAATTTTTCTACAGAAAGAAGAAGAAAAACTTTAATTTAAGAAGAACTCTTTTCTATTATATTTAGTAAATTTTTTCAAATAGTTTTTGCGAAATTAAATTTTTTCTTTTTAATATTTTACACAAAGTTGCGTATAAAAAACAAGCAAAAAACAATTAAAAATAATTTGTTTTTATAGCTTAAAAGTTTCGATTAAACATATCAATTTTTTTTAACAAACTTAAAACAGAGTTGTTTTTTGCTAAAAAAAAATATTTATTAAACATAAATTCTCAACAAATTCGCAGAAGAATAATACATTTTTTATCATCGTTTTTCATTTCTATTGTTGTTATTGTGTTCTTCGCCACAAAATTTGTTATTTTTGTGCTTTATTTGTTCCTCACAAGCTTTTTGTTTGGGGCGCAACCCAAAGGAGTTGGGCAAAAATTTAACGAGATTTAGGAAAAAAAAAATAATTGCGAAAGCGTTTCAAGAAAAGTATTTTTCAAATAAAATATGCGTGTTAGTATATCAATTTTAAATAATTTATTGCTTTTGCATAGAATTAGAAATTGTTTTTTTTTCAATTACAAAAATTTGAGGTTAGAAAAAATAAATGAGTTTGTAGTACTCATATTTGTATTTTATTTAAAGAATACAATTATTTTTCAAAATATTATTTATTAATAATTAAATTGTAGATTTTTAAAGTTTCATAAGAACGCTTGTTTGATAAAGAAAAGATAGTTATTACAGAACTCCACCATTTTGCATACTCAAAAGTCTTATGGTGCATTCTTAACGGGCTTTTTTATGCTAAACTAACTCGAAATTGCGGTCAAAGAACATGCAAGTAATCCTCTTAAACTCAAAGGTAGTTATTCAGTGACATAAAAAACTTTCTTTTGAAATTTCAAAAACTTTTTAGTTTTTTTCTTTTCATATGCACCAGACATTTTTACAATATACATAATAAAGAACAAGCATTTATTTGTATTAAAGTATACTTTATTTAAAAAAAAATATCTTAAATTGCGACAGTCGAATTTTAACAATATTTTTATTTATATTATTATTATTTTTTTTTTAATTTTATTTTATTTTATGGCATAGGTAAAAACAAGCCAAGTTATACATACTCATATTTGTTGTCAATCATATAAAAAATCGACTTGCACGCGAAGCATACATACAAAATCTATAAAAAAAATCTAGCAAATGCACCAATATTTTCACAAACGAACCAGCAACTGTCTCAGCAAATACAACACAATGCTATTTTAAATTTAAATATTATTTCAATTTTCTTTTTCTTACTTTTTAGAAACGCTAAATTGACCATAAAATGCGTTTGTGTAAAAAAATTATGTTTTTACTGTATTTGTAATAAAAGATGCTGTGTATATATGATTGTATGCATGTATTTAGTACTATAAATAAATATGTAAATGTATATAGCATAAATTGATTGGCTGAGTTGATAGTGTAAAATAAAAAATAAAAAAAGAACTAATAATTATTTGCGCTGAGTGACTCAGAACTCACTCACTCGCCCACAAGAAAAAAAAAAGAATTGACCAAAATTATACATATGTATATATATCTCCTTGCTATTATTCTGCAAATTATTACATATTACATATATATATACTAAATACGCTAAATATACACATTCTGAGGATTTATTGAAAATGTCACATGTGGTTGTTTCTGTTGTTGTTATTCTAGTTCCACGCTTGTTGTTGGTCGCAGTGCTAGTGATAATTTCTATGGAAATAGGTTCGCTTGGTGGAAAGTGTGTCTTCGTTTTTCGCCTAAAACTTTGTTGTTGTTGGTGGTTCGTTTTTTCCCGCATTGTTTTGTGTGTTCGTTTATTGTTTTTTTTTTTTTGATCACCCTTTTTCTTCCTTTGTGTGTGTATGTATGTGCAGTGTTTGGTTGTTGTTTTTTTTTTGCTGCTGTTTTTACTATTTGCTTTTTGTTTTTTTTTTAATGGTAATTTCTTCTTTTCTTGATTTTCCTTGTTTTTGCTTTTAATATATTTTTTTTTATTATTATAATTATTATTTATTATGAGTTTCTATTCTATTATGTGTGATATGGCGTTACATAGGTTGCTGGGAAGATGCCTTTCCGATTGCCAATCTCACCATTCCACCAATTCTCATCGGAACGATCTGTAACGGTGATGACATCGCCGCGTCTAAAGTCCAATTCACCAGATTCTTGTGGCACAAAATCATATAATGCTTGTACGAGCATCTAAAATGTGGTGTGAGTGTTTGGATGTGTGTGTGTGTGCATGTATATGTAAAGGAGAAAAACAGAGAGAGAGAAAGTGAAGAGATTTAGTCAGTAATGAAAAGTAATATTAATAAATAATTTAATATATTTATGTAAACAAATTAACATTTAAATGTTTCGAAATCTCTGAGGAAGTGGAGCTTTTGCTACAACACATAAGAAGTAAGAGAAGAATTAAGAGCTTATAAATAGTATTAAAATTTCAAAATTATTATTGCAAAAAAATTTTTTTTGAAATTGAAAAATATAACAATAATTTATAATATTAAAAAATGTTATGAAATTGAAAAAAAATAAAAGAAATTAGGTTTTCGTCATATTTGGTTTTCAAAAGCAATACTTATCTATCTTAAAATACATAATTCATTTCGCGTCGCAAAATGAAGCATACTTTCAGGCGCACGCACAAACCGCCCAAATATATCTTTAACCCAATTTGTTTCAGCATAAACTGATTCCATATTCAGTTTCAGCACATAAGAAAGCTTCGCCTCAGAACTTGAAAATTTTCAGCTTAAACAATATTTTCCTAATATTTTTAATATCTTTTATTTGGGAAGAAAATATGGAATATTTACAGTATTTTAACGTTAAAATATATTGTACAAGCTGGAAATTTTCAGATCTTAAGATTATCGTCTACTTTTAACATATTTTTGCATTTTTAATTTTTTTTTTTAATTTTTATTTTTGGAAAAAAAATTTTGTTTTGGATAAAATGCAGTAAAATTGCAGTTTCAGCGCATCAGAAACCTTTAAAAAATATTATAAAAGCTGGCCTCACGACTTGAAAAATATCAGCTTGACCAATTATTTCCTATTATTTTTAATATCTTTTAACATTAAAAAAATATTGTACAAGCTAACATTTTTAAAATCTAAAGACTATCACCTTCTTTTAACATATTTTTGAATTTTTTATTGATTTTTAAAATAAATTTTTTGGAAAAAAATTTTTTTTTGGTTTTTTTTTTGATTATTTGTTTTGGAAAAAATTCAGTAAAAAAATGTATTGAAATTAGTCAAAATTATAAAATTTTAATATAGATTTTTATGATAAATTTCGTTTATATTCGTTAATATATTCTCCGATATGTCATGAGAAAAATGCATATATAATATTTACATACATATATGTCAAAAAAAATATATACATAAAATTTCATTAGCCTACATTTGAAAGCAAAGAAATTTATACTTTAAATCTCTCAGTCAGCCTAGAAACAAGGGTTTCTAAAGGTACAAAAATCTTCTTTTTTCATAGGAAAAAAATAGTCCTTCAAACCCATACCATACTTCTCTCAAATAGTTACATATATGTAAGTATTTATAGGGACATGTGTGCACATAACTCAAATTGGACATCAACATACCACACTAACCTCTTCGTGTACCATATCTCTTAATTTAACATCTTGTGATCTTGATACGCTTGCGGTTCGATGATATTCAACAAGTTCGTTCAGTGAGTTAAATTTAACTACCCAAAGGAAGAATTTACCCTGTGCGTCGCGTAAAACTTTAAAATGTTGCACACCATCGGGGCATCTGTGTGGAAGGAAAACGAAAATAAAAAATAAATAAATATATTCTTTATATGTATGTAGGCGCACACTTACTTGACTGATAATGAGAAATCCCCAGGACTCGATTCGCTAATGCGAATTAAAAATGCACCTTCATGTTTATTTGAGAGTAATTTTTCAGCATCGGCACGTGTGATGCGACCATAGTACCAGCTGGACAATGGAAATGTACGAAAAGAGAATTATTAGTATTTACATATGATGTTTGTGCTTAATGAAATATTTGTAATGTAATAAATAATTGCAAACTCACTCATGATTTTTCATTTCTATATAATTACTGGGTATAAGACCCTCTTTACTGTCTAATTCGGCACGATACCAATTGGAATCATCTTCCATATTTAAAATCTGCAAAGAGAGGAGAGAAGAGGGTTTTTTTATTAATTAAATTATAATATTTTACATGAACATATATATATATATATTTTTATTTTTTTTGTTTTTAAAAAATTCTTGTAGGTAAAAACAAATTTTAAATTTTCACAAAAAGAATGTTTTGACTAAAAAATCCGTCAAAAATGCAACTAAGAGTATGTATTTTTGCAATCCAAACTCGTATATACAAATAAACATTGTTACCGAAAATCTTCGAAATCGGAAGACTATATCATATAGCTCCCATACAACCGATTTGTTCAAATATGAGGTTTTTGGGTTGAAAGCCCGTAAAAAAGGCATTCGAGGGCATGAAATTTTGCAATCCAAACTCGTATATACAAATAAACATTGCCAGCAAAAATCATCGAATCCCCGGGACTATATCATATAGCTCCCATACAACTGATTTGTTTAGGTTTGAGGTTTTTGGTATAAAAAAACCGTCAAAAAACCATTTAAAAACGTGAAATTTTGCATTTTACACACTTATATACAAATAAACATTGACTTTTCCGAACAAGATAGCTCGCTCTTCTTCGTTGTTTATTTTTTTTCCACACATATAATTCTACGATTAAATCTACTTTAAACTGTTCGCAATTTTTTATTATTTGTTTACCTTTATTTTACAAAAGTATTTGCATAACAAATTAAAACTAATTAATTTGCAGTTTTTTTTATATTTTTTTAATGCGAATATTTGCTTCACACTTTATTTTTCAGTGATCATTATTATTTTTTCTGACACAGTGCTGTAAAAATGCTAATTTTATTAATGAATACTGTTAATAAATAAACAAATCTGTGATAGCATACAAACATGTATACATATGTACATTTATGTATGTATGTATATTCAATACGTACAAATGTTTAAATATAAAAAAATTTACGAAAAATGCCAGCAAAGAAATAAATTCTCTCGGTGCGCCTTTGACGTTTGGCAGTAGGAAAAAAATTATTGCATGCGATAAAAAAGTGTCTATCTAAAATTACTGCATACAGAAGGAAATCTATGTACGAGTACATGTCAGTGGCATTGTTTATTGAATTTTCAGTATTATTTTTTTACGCTTTGAAATGCCGAGCAGCGAACGCCACCAACACCCACTGACAGGCAGCTATTTTATGTATACATGTATGTATGTATGTGTAACACATAAAGCTCAATGCAATTGGGTCAGCATTGAGACGCGAGAACCAGAACAAAAAACGGTTGCCAAGTGACGTGGAAGCTGATACAAAAAAAAAAAAAAAAAATTATGCGCGAGAATTCGTTGATGACAAAAAGTCATTAATAATTTGTCGAGCGGAAATGAATTGAGAAATATTTTAAAAATTCTGTATGCAATAAATATATGTAAATAATAAAAGCTTCATGTGTAAAAAGTAATCAAACGCTCATTTCCATTTTTTTTTTACTTAAATTTACTAATAATAAATTTATACTCAACATCATTTTGCCAATTAAAAAATATAGCAATAATAAATTACAAATTTTAACTGCACGAATGCTGTTACAACAACATCTACAATAAGAAAATTAAAAAAAAAAATATTGCGCGCGAAATAAATTAATTTCAACTTTTAATTTACGACGGAAGAAAGTAAGTGGAAATAACTGCTAATTCGCAGGCAGAGCAGCAGGGTTGCATGCAGGTATGAGACGACGTGCTGCTATGCAGGTTTATACATATGCACATACAGTTGTATGTGCGCTATGTAATTTACATGGCAGATCAACTAAAACACGGCGCGTCAGCTGAATTTGCACAGTTTTTCTTCTGAGCGTTTCTCGAATTTTTGCACGACTTTATGGAATTCTTACGCAAGCTGTTAAGCGATTGACGGTAAAAAGCGTTATTTATTGTAAAAGCACGTAGGGATATTAATTTAATATTATTATATGCACTTAATAAATACAAATATAAATAAATAAGCAAAAATTAAAAGGTAAAATAAATTATTTAGCAAAAAAAAACAAAGAAAATAAATAAAATAAGCGTGAAGTTAAAAATAATAAAAAGAGAAAGTAATTATTGTATATTAATTTTAATTTATTATTAATCTTATTTTAATACGGTCTCTGCACTTAAATTTATCAAAATCATAATTGAAACAAAAAAATTTTCAATGAATGAAAATAATACCTAAAAAATAAAGAAAATGATAATAATATACAAAAACAAAAATTTTCAAGTAAAAGATAAAATAATAAAGAAAATAAATAATAAAAGAACTAATAAAAAAAAATAATAAAAGAACTAATAAAAAAAATTCATTTAAAATTTTTAAATAAAAGATAAGATAATTTTAAATAATTAAAATAAAAAACCTATGAAATTAAAAAAAAAAAAATAAATAAAATTTCTCGAGTAAAAGGTGAAGTAAAATAAAAGAAAGAATAGTAGGAAATAATAATTCTGAGAATAAAAGATAAAATAATAAATGAATAAAAATAAATAAATAAAAAAATAAATAACGAAATTAATAAAAAAAAAAACAAATAAAAAATGAATGAAAAAATTTCAATCAAAATTTTTTTTGAATAAAAGATAAATTAATTTAACATAATTCAAAATAAAAACCTAATAAAATTAAAAAAAAAATAATTATATATTATTAAAATAAATAAAAATAATAGTAAGAAATAATAATTTTTAGAATAAAAGATAAAATAATAAATGAATAAAAATAAACATATAAAAAATAAATAACGAAATATAAAAAAAATTAATAAAAAATTTCAATCAAAATTTTTTGAATAAATTAATTTAAAATAATTCAAAATAAAAAACTAATGAAATTGAAAAAAAAAATTATAAAATGAATAAATAAAAATTAAACTACTCGAGTAAAAGTACAATTAAAAAAAATAAATAAATAAAAAAAATAGAAAAAAAGTTTTTTGAAAATAAAATATAAAACAGTTGAAAAAAGTAATAAAAAAGAAATAAAATGAAAAATAATAAAATAAATAAATAACAAAAATTGTTTGAAAAAAAGATTAAATAACATAAAATAAAATATTATAAATAAATAATTAATAAAAAAAATATATTTTTTATAATAAAAGATAAAATAATTTAAAAAAATAAAAAAAAAGTTTGAATAAAAGATGAAAAATTTAAAATAAAATAAAAGCAAAAAAACTATACAGATAATAAAAAAATAATAAATAGAAAAAAATAATAGCTAGAGATATGTCATTTTAGTTGCAAGGCTGTACCCAAATCCCTTCAGCTTCCCACATTCTAGAAACGTAGGCGACCCCAGTGCGATATCAAGTAATAACCCTATAAAGCCTTGGGTCACGACTCAAGAGAAGGTGGTTTAGTCGAGCCACTCTGACACATCTGGTTAAAGGGCTTGCTAGAGATATTTTGCGCAGTCTATAGTCAAAACTTTGATCAGCTTGGGATGAAGGACTACAATTTAGATGATGACCACTGAAAACGTTTTAAGAATCTAAGTTTAAGGCTAAAGACTGACATCAGCGCAATTACAAATTTGCTATAGGGTGGGCAGAGGCCCGAAAATACGTATTAAAACCGTCATATCCACGAAGGTAAATTGTTGTGGACTATCGTCTCATCACAATTCTCAACAACAGCGAAGTTCTTCAACAACTCGCTCGGATGGCAGAGAAGGGCAATATAGCCTGTAGGAATGCCATTTACGCGTCACGATGTCAAAACTGTTACTGGGTGACCTTAACGCCAGTGTGGGCAAAGAAAGTATCTTCGACATAAATTTAGACTGCAAGAGAGAACATCCTCAAATGAGTTGAGACTGATTGACTATCTATGATAATCTGAATCCAGCACAAGAAATTTCATAAATACACTTGGCTGCCACCGGGTCGGAAAACTCACAACCACATCGATCATGTTTGTGATAGACGGACGATATGTCTCCAGTCTACGTGATGCGCGTACGCTTCGAGGTCCTACCATCGAACCGAACTACTATTTTGTAACAGCGAGGACACGTATTTGACGGTGTGACGTCGAAAAGCTACAATCGAAACAGAAAGTCAATTAGCTTTCTACTCGTTTTACTCGACTTGATCTACTACTCTCTGAGAAACACATCCACAACTCGGTGTAAGTAAAGGAATTGTGAACATTTCAAGTACCCCAAGTACAGCTGTCAACGAGAGCATTGTACCTCGACAAGCGCGCAAGCAAGAAAGCGCTGCTACGAAGAGAACCGCCATACCGCAGCGTAGAGTGGACAGAAAAAAACGTTCGTTTATGTAAAATGAAATCTCATTCCAGGAACAAATAACGACGAAAAGTATCAATTCTTCCTAACACGTGCGATAACCTCCAGGAATAGAAGCGATGCAAATAATATTGCTGCGTTGGCTGAGTGCAAAAACATAAATAAATAAAATAATTTTGCGAAATTGCGTAAATATGTATGTATGTATGTATATATATTTAAAAATATTTTCATTGTAACTTTATACACGCTACATGCGTATATATTTATTATGGCTGTGGGTGCAGTAAGTCACCGGACAGTGTCACCCACAGTTGACGCGCCTCAACTTGAACTCGACACACCGTAGCTGCCGCCCGCCCGTCACATGCTCGACCTTTATTTATTACATTACAGTGGAAACAAAAAGAAAAAACTCAAACGCATTTCATTATTTTTTTTTTACCGAGAATGCTTGCATGTGTTAGTACATACTATATATTTGTTAATTTTTTTTCGGCTTTGCTTTGCTTTTGTTGTTGTAAATATGAACAACATGTATATGCATTAAATGAAATGAATATGCCAAAAGTGTTTTGCGTTGATGAAACATATAAATTCCCACAATGGGAGTTAATGGGCGTAAGCGTAAATGAACTGACAAGAAGTGCGGAGGGAAAAAAGTGAAAAAAAACATAATAATTGGCGAAGAAAAAAATGAAAAAATGTATTGAAAATAATAGGCAACACCCAGCGAAGGTCAA